ATCTGCACACAGCTGTTGTCACGAATGTCGCACTCGCTTATGAGAGTGTCATGAGACATTCTCGCAAAAAATCATGGTTTTAGTAACGCAGCGTTCCTACGGGAAAGTAACGGTAATCTAATTACCGTTTTTGCAATAGTAATCCCTTACTTTACTCGTTACAAGTAATGCATTACTGGCTCTGGTTATTAATAATAACAATAATACATTTTATTTGAAAGTACCTTTCAGAACACTCAAAGACACTGTACACAGCAGAATAATAAAAGCATCATTAAAGCAAGCAGTTTATACAATCATAAAAACAAAGACATAAAACAAATTTAACATAGCAGAGTGGAGAGGTTATGTGGGATAAGCTACTGAACAAGTGAGTTTTGAGTTGGGACTTAAAGAGAGAGAAGGAATAGATATTTCTTATATCAGGAGGTAGGGAATTCCAGAGTCGAGGAGCAGAGAAGCTGAAAACCCTGCTCCCCATGGTGGCAAGACGGGGAGAGGGGACAGAGAGAGAAAGAGAAGAAGAAGATCTGAGACACCGAGATGGGATGGTGATCTGATCCAGATCAGACAGATATGGAGGAGAGAGATGATGAACAGCCTTAAATGTGTACAAGAGTATTTTGAAATTGATACGATATTTGACCGTGAGCCAATGAAGCTGCTGCAGGACAGGAGTGATGTGGTGGGCAGAAGGGGTCCTGGTGATAATACAGGCAGCAGAGTTCTGGACGTGTTGGAGCTTGCGGTGGATTTTTGAGTAAGACCAAAAAGAAGTGAATTACAATAATCAATCCGGGAAGTAACAAGGCTATGAACAAGAATGACAGTGGCATGTGGAGTGAGAAAAGGACGGAGACGATTAATGTTGCGCAAATGAAAATATGCAGACCGAGTGACATTATTAATGTGTGGAAAGATAGAGTACTGTGGAGGATGACACCCAAACTTTTCACAGAAGAAACAAAGATTGGTGAGTTATTGATAGTAATAAAGAAACTATTAGTTTTGGATAATGTTGATTTAGAGCCGACCAAGAGAAGCTCAGATTTGTTACTGTCAAGTTTAAGAAAATGAGAAGAGAACCATGAATGTTTGGTTGAACAGATTTCCGAAAAAGCTGCTATAAAGTCCCTTCACTTCACCGCCTGCTTCCATGGGGAGAAGTAAAGCTGGCTTTAACACAGTACATCTTTTAACTGTGACATTTTTCAATAATACAGTGTGGTACCATAACCAACATGCAGCTAGTAAATACATAGTTTTTGTTTTACAACAGGAGCGGGGGAACCCTAGGCCTAGAGGGCCGGTGTCCTGCAGGTTTTAGATATCACCCTGGGTCAACATACCTGAATCAAATGATTCGTTTATTACCAGACCTCTAGAGAACTTGAGAACAAGACATGTTGAGAAGGTAATCTAACCATTTAAATCAGCTGTGTTGGATCAAGGACGCATCTAAAACCTGCAGGACACGACCCATGAGGCCTGGAGTTCCCCCACCCCCGCTCTACAAGGATCAGTGAAACGGAAAGTGGCAGCGGTTCCGTCTGAATGGCCCACAAGCTCATATGAAGCTAGAACTGCCTTTTCATCTGTTGCTGATGCTGTTTGCAGGTAGAGGAGGGCCTGCTGGTCTTTGACATTCCCCACGCTCCTGCAATAAAAAAAGAATCCACCCTTTTTGTCCATTGTCTGGGTGAATGGTTTATTAGGATAGGGCCATCCTAAAGTAGGTGCAATCTGTAGTGTCAGTTTTGAAGCAGTCAAAGCTTTGTCTGTGTCTTTAGAGAGAGGGACTTACCATCTAATGTGATCATGTGTCCTTCAAAAGTTATTTTTCTCAAAGCCCATTATAATTTGGAGAGGCCTGCCCTGTGATTGTCCTCAGCGAAGTATTTCATATCGCTTTAGTTTCAATCTTGAAGCCATGTTTAGAAGGAGAACAGGTCACAAAATCACTGACAAATGCAAAAATGTCAATCCTCCAGAGGAATGAAAGCTAACATCTTTTCTTTAAGTGCAGTGTTAAAAAACACGGGGGCCTGGTTTGGGCCCATCGCACAACCAGTACAGTTTTTCCCCTGCAAAGAGAAGACAAACGAAAAATGACTAGGATCAACTTTCATAATGAAAAATGCATCAGGCAGCTCATCCACAGGAAATATTTGCTTTCTGGTGGAACTTTAGGTGCTATGGCATGTATTGCTGCATTCACTGCTTGTGGCTTGAATGGATACTGATGCTTACATGTTATCATGTTTCATTCCCCCCGCATCATATTTACTATTTGCCCGCAAATGCTCTGTGATATCACCCAATGTTAATTTATCCACACATTTTATTGCTGCAATATTTCACCATGTTTGGTTTTTATAAACTGGACATTTGAACTAGTTAATATAATACTTCTGTTTTAGACTTTAAGCTCCCCATGTTGTTCACTTTAATCTCATCTAGTGTCTACTGTGAATTCATCCCCAGTAGGTCGTCACTTGTGCAGCCCACAATGTTGTTAACAAGCATCTGCCCTCTGGCGATCAGCCCAAACCAGCTGTGTTTACAGAACGCTTCTCTGTTGAAAAGCATCTAAACCTAAAACTGATTTCTGAGATCTATGAAAAGAAAGTTCAAACCTTTGCAAAGGGATGAGTACAGCATGAACAGGGTTGGTACAAGCACTTATAAATAGTAACATTTCCTTATGGCAATTGTATGGATACAGTTTTTCTCTTCATTATGAACACAGTTTATATTTTTTTTATTAAATTTTCACTCATTCTTTGTTTCAAAAACTTACAGCTACAAACCAACAGTACACTCAAGTTAAATGAAATTTAAAAAAAAGTCTCCCATCAAATCTGAATATTTACTTAGTCATATATGTAGAAATCTACCACAGATGAATATTTAGTTATTATTTTTTAAACTGGTGGTGGTGGGGCCTTTCATCTGTTTAATTGATGATGTCATACCCGAGGAATTGTCCACAACTTTCCGTCAAATAGCCTTTGAGTCACTTGTCCACTTCCCTTTGGTCCCTTTTAAAAGAGGCTGTCACATGTGAAGAAAGTGTCCCTTCACCCAGTTAAGAGAAAGTCAACAGTCTTCAGTCGACCCAGGTGGCCTTCAAGGATCAGGACAAGGAGTTCCAACAGCAGTTTTGTTATCAGGGGAGATTTGTGTGACCTTGGCAGGCCTCCAGTTGGCGCCAGTGGGGTAGCTGCATGAGGGAAGATGGTGGTTGTTTTGGTTCAGTGCAAACAACTGCATCCAATTTTGTACAGTTGGTCTAATGTCCGTCATTGATCACCACAAAACATGTTGCTCACAGTGTGAAGCTTCAATAATTTTGTCACTTTTATAAACAAAGCACTGCAGACATATCAACATCTGTCTTTCTTTCTGACAGATGATCAACTCTGAGAAGGAGAAGGATGATATCATTCAGAGGCTGATGAAAACATTTCCTACACTGGAATCAAAGGTCAGTGAAAGCATTGCTCAGCAGACAGAGGTAAACATGAACATATGTGATGCTGTCATCCTCCCAATGATCACAGACCTGTGCACTTATATTCCTGCAGTTTTGGCCTGCAGCAGCTTTTTTGTAGAAGTAATCTAGTAACTATACTTAATTACTTTTTCAAAGTAACTTGCCCAACACTGGTCACCAGCTGCTCTGTGTTGGATGAAAAGTGGTTTGTCTGAAAGAAGCCAAACGGTTTATTATAATGGTTATTTCTCAGATAGCTGCGATATGAACTGTGGTCCATCCCAAGGCAGCTGCCTCGGTCCTCTTCTCTATTCAGTTTTCATTAATTATCTGCCACATCTTGGGCAAATCTCATCTTGTAATGTACTTCGATGATTCCACCATGTTTTATTCAGCTAGCGATAATTCAGAATTGACCAGAATATTACAAGAAGATTTGCTGAACGTGTTTTACTGGATAAGTAAAAATAACATGATTCTAGTTCATCTAAACCTAAATCAACGTTAACTGAAAGTAGACTGTGTTTAGTCAACAGTCCACAACTGATTCTTCATAGCTGGATCAGTATAAGAACAGGTCACCCAGATTAAACTAATTGGTGTTACTATAAATCACCACCTCATTGTCTCAGCATATAGACTCTGTCATTAAGAAAATGAGACAGTCCATAGCTGTGGTTAGGAAATGCTCCTTCTAAATAAGATGTTATTAATGCACAGTCGAATAGATAATAAATTTTTTTGGCTTCCATTACAAACTAAATTACATTTTGGCTTCTTTTTATTTATAAAGAAAGCAACACTGTTAAACACATCACATTTTTTCACATTGTATCATATGAAATACATGAAGACCAGCAATCACTATTGTGGAAGCTTGTGGGTTTATTGTGGGTTCCTTATATATAAGTAAAAAATAAATAAAAACACTTAATGTTGTTAACATCATGCTACATCAGCTCCCTTATATTTACACAATACAGCTTTAATGTGACTCTGGTTGTGTTATCATTAGTGTTTCCTAAACATGAGCGTTTCTGCTCTTTCTTCATGTAACATTTCACCTGCAGTGGAAGAAGAATAATGAATACATCAAACAGCTCGTGCAGGTGAAACAAACAGCAGAAAGCCTGAAGAAACAGCTGCAGTCCCAAACTCATGAGGTTTGTCTTTCCATTTATTCTATTCATGAATAGAATAAAAGTGCACATCAGTACTTACTCACCAGCAGACTTTACAGTATAAACAAAAAATAAACAAATCTAAATCTAAGGGTCTAAATATATCATCTATACATGATATTGAGGCAGTCTACAACCAAACATCAATGTCATGGTAAATTTTCTGTGGGAGGCAGAGTTGTGGACTATCAGGCAAAACTGTGCTGGAAATAGTTTTATTGCTAAATTCCCAGAAAACAGGTGACGTGAACATGAACTGGGAACTAACTCTTTGAAATGCTACTACAGAAACTTTCAAAACAGACAAGACACACAGCTAGACCGAGCTCACAACACGAAATAGACGGAGACACAGACATCATATACACAAGAGGACATCAGGGCAGAGAGGAGACACCCGAGAAACACAGCTGGACATGATGCACACAGGACAGGAGACTGTCAGAATAAAACGGGAAACATGATAAACACACACTGAGACACACTGAGTGCAAATGAGACGGAGAGACATGACTGGGGACTAGAAAGGCAAATACGTATGGAGACAAGACTGAGACACAAATAACAAACAGAACTACACACAAGAGGACAGGGAGCACAGAGGGAGGGATTATTCTAACCTAAACACACTTAAAGCATAATATAAATGAAACCAACATAAAATATTCAAACATTATAAAGTCCAGAGACCTGGAACTACTGTGTCACTGACTCAGGACCATGACAGTCAAAGCAGAAACGTCACTTTTGGTGTTTATGATCATGTAGAGGATCAGCTCTGTTTCAGCTTCTCATTAAACTAAAGCTGCTGCTTCACTGTTCATACATGATTTGTTGGCTTTGTGTGATGGTGCTGCTGTCGTAGGCTGATGGAGAGGAGCAGACTCACTGCTGTGTAAAAGGATCGTTCCTGATCTGATTGTCATTCACATGTTAGAAGCAACAAGTTTCAGTTTTCCAGTTTAGATTTCAATCTGGAAAGTCTCCTGTTGATCTCAGTAGAGAGCATTTCTTCCTTCTTCTCTTTCTTCATGTAACATTTCACCTGCAGTCTGAGGAGGAAACTAAAACCATACATCAGCTCCAGCAGTTGGAACAAGCAGCAGAGATCCTGAAGATTCAGCTGGAGTCCAGAAATCAACAGGTTTGTCTTTTCATCATAAATATTCTGAATTTGCTGACTCGGCTCTCTTTATGAATGAAATAATAGTAAAAATCAGTATTTACTCACCAACAGACTATTTAAATAAATAAATAAATAAATAAATAATGAATAAATAAATAAATAAATAAATAAAACTAAATGTAAAGGTGTAAAATATATTTTAAATACGAATTTAGAAGCTATACATGCTGCTGTTGATCTCAGTAAATAAACAGTCACCTTCCTCCCTGTACAGTGATTTTTAGATGTTGATGAAGGAAGATGAAACACTGTACAATCAACTCTTCAGTAAAGTAGAAAATGTTTTTCCAATGAAATCAGAGTGTTTTCTAACTTTGATATGTAGAATCTATCAAAACTTAATATTTGGTCTAATGTAGATTTTACTTAAACTGACAGCATTTTGTGTTGTTGAAATTTGAGTTTATTTCACATTAAATATTGATGTTATCACACACCTGATCAAATAGCAGGTGAGATTTAAAGCTTGTTTATTGTTACGTTTGATGTGATTAACAGTGTGTAAAGAAACAAAGACAAGAGTGAGAATATTGCACATTCATTTCAGTAAAGATACAGTATCCTGTAAGAGCTGTGTTATGTTTAAATTCATCATTATTCTATTAACCTTATATTGACAGCAATAATAAAAATGTCTGTGTTTTGATTTATTGCTCCGATTACAGTTCATGAGCTGAAGCAGAGTAGCATCAACCCTCAGCAGTTTTGGTTGAGTTTAGTTTTTATGAGTTTGTGACTTTACATAATTTAGATTCTTTACATTTTATCATTTATCTATTTCTATAGCACATTTCATTACAACAGCAATGTTGATCAAAGTGCTTTACAAAAATACAAAATAACTAGTAAAATAACTTATAATATTAGTACCAAACATCAAATACCAAATAATTCTCATACTGTATTAAAAGCCAGTGAATACAAATGTATTTTAAGATAAGATTTAAAACGATTGACAGTAGGAGTCTGTCTGATGTGTAGGCGTCGATTATTCCACAGTTTAGGAGCTACGACCCCAAACAATCAATCACCTCTGTGAACCAGCTTTGACCTTTGTATGGCTAAAAGCAAAAGATCATCTGATCTAAAAGACCTAGAAGGTGGTCAGACAAATACCTGAGAGCCTGTCTATTCAGGGCTTTGTAAGTTAACAATCAAATTTAAAATTAATTCTGAAGTGAAGGCAAGCACCGGGGAAATATGATCAGGTCTTTTAGTTCGTGTTAGAAGACGAGCTGCAGCATTTGGACGAACTGCAATCTTGCATGGCAGGTCTGGTTAACTCAAACATTTAAGGAGTTCCAGCTATTCCAGCTAACAAAAGCATGGATTGTCCTTTCAAAGTTTTTAAAAGATAAAAATGATCTCACCTTAGATAAAAGCCTAAGTTTGAAAAAAGGCTGCTGTACAACTGAGCTGATCTGTTTTCAAAGGTGAAATTACTGTCAAATACAACCTCAAAATTTTTGGCATGTGAATTAATAAAAGGCTAAATACTGTGCAGGTTAAAATGACTCTCAGGTTAAAATGAGAGTCAGTGGCTAATAAAAGATCATTAAGAACTTTTAAAAGTGCAGTTTCAGTGCTGTGAAGAGAATTTAAACCAGACTGAAACCTCTCAAGAGCACATCGTCCATTTACAAAAGATTGCAGCTGAACAAATACAATCTTTCCCAAATTCTTCATAGGAAAGGAAGCTTTGAAATAGGCCTGAAATTTGCGAGGACAGAGGAATGGAGATAAGTTTTTTAAGTACAGGCTTTACAACAGCTTGTTTAAAACAGGCTGGCACTGAACTAAGACTGCTGTTACAAATCCTTAAGATGTCAGAACTGCAGTTTTCTTGCAGTTTTTTTATCTTATTGATTTTTTTTTTAAGTAATAGAAAATTGTTATTGTTATTGTTGGCATGATAGCAGCTAAAAAGGTTGAAAAGTGTAGAATAAAATCCTTGTGATATTTTGAAGGTGTGTATACAGCTGCAACATCAGAAGTTCAAAACTTTATTAAGAGTCACTTAAGAGTTATTTGCAGGTGAGCTTCTTCCTAAAAACAGCAGCCACTCCACCACCACGCCTACTTATCGTCGACATGTTAAGATATTCACAGTCTGAAGGTAAAAGTTCAGTAAAACAGCTGGACTCACCGGCTCTCACAAGCTTTGATCCAGTTCCTGATTAGTGAAGAAGTCCTTAAGAATTTATTTTTAACAAAACTTTTAAGGTTTTTTTGCTAGCAATCAAGCATTAACGAGACTTAGTGGTACCAGTGGCTCAGCGGCTGATGTGGATGCCCGACCTATCAGCCGTAGGTTCTGAGGGTTTACTTCACCCTGTGAGGAAGGGGAGGATACTGGCGTGGGGTTATTGTAGTAAACCCAACAAGAGGTGTAAGCCATTTACAGAGAACACCAGTAATCGAATCCAGTCGGGATAGCATGAAGTGTTTTTGCAAATCATGCCAAGGTAGCCTTCATTTTCACTAATAAGCCAATGCATTTTACATGGCATCTACGACGCCCTCTCAGTTGAAGTACAGTTCAGTTCATTTGTTATTTCAAACATGAGCATTCACAATCATTACAAAATATCATTCCATTCATTTGTTTGAAAAGGAGTAGGCAGAAATATACACTTATTAGTCCCTACCCCCTCAAACAGAGACAAGCTGGAACTCCTGACAGGAATTGTGGGGAGAAGGTTCCCTGATATCCACGACTGCGATAAACAGGTTTTAAATAAGAAGATCTTTTAGCCAGGGGTGTTTGGCGATTATATACAAGCAGAAAGTTAGCATTTTTAAGACAAATAATAAATAAAACATGTACAGTCTGTATCATTAAAGTAAGAGAACACAATGTTGCTCACAGTGTGAAGCTTCGATAATTTTGTCACTTTTATAAACAAAGCGCTGCAGAAACAACATCTGTCTGTCTTTCTGACAGATGATCAAATCTGAGAGGGAGAAGGATGAAACCATTCAGAAGCTGATGGAAATATTTCCTGCACTGGACTCAAAGGTCAGTGAAAGCATCTCTTTCACTGACAGAGGTAAACATGGACATATGTGATGCTGTCATCCTCCCAATGATCACAGACCTGTGCACTTATATTCCTGCAGTTTTGTCCAGCAGCAGTTTGTGTGTCATTAACCAAACACAACTTTGAAATCCTACCACTGCAAGATTGTTGACATCATCCCACAACACTTAATGTTGTTAGCATCATGCTACATCAGCTCCCTTATATTTACATCATACAGCTTTAATATGACTCTGGTTTTGTTTCATTATTGTGTCTTAAACATGAACATTTCTTCCTTCTGCTCTTTCTTCATGTAACATTTCACCTGCAGTGGAAGGAGAATACTGACATCATCAATCAGCTTCAGGAGGTGAAAGAAACAGCAGAGAAACTGGAGCAGCTGGAGAAGAAAAATCTGGAGGTTTGTGTTTCCATTATAAACACTTTGAATTTACTGACCCAACTCTCTTTATGAATAGAATAACTGCACACATCAATATTTGCTCACCATCAGACTGTACAGTATAAATGAATCAATAAATCTAAATCTTAGCATCTCAATTATATAAAAAAAAAAAAATCCCAGATATATACATGTAAGAATATAAGAAAAAACAGTGTGCATGCATAATCCCAAAAGATTGATTCTGTTCATCTGGATGTAACGTTTTCAGTGGGAGAAACATTTTGTCACTCATCCAAGTAACTTCTTCAGTTTCAGCTGACTGCAGGTTTCCCAACCTTATGAACAGTAGATTTATATAATTAATTAAAAAATCAGCAGAACTGATGAACAATGGGCTGTGCATACATATTATTAGTAATGGAAGTAAAAGTAAGTTTTAGTTTTAGAGACTCTACATTGAAACTTACGATATTTCCTTAGTGTTATTTACAAATATTAATTTATATTATCCAGCTTATATTTACATAATACAGATTTTATTTCCAGCTTTAATTGAACTCTTATTGTGTTATTAATATTGTGTCTTAAACATGAAAGTTTCTTTCTTCTGCTCTTTCTTCATATAACATTTCAGCTCCAGGGTGAGACAGATAGTGAAATCATCAAACAGCTCCAGCAGGACAAAAACACAGCAGAGAACCTGAAGAATCAGCTGGAGTCCAAAAATTGGGAGGTTTGTCTTTCCATTATAAACAATCAGAATTTGCTGACTCAGCTCTCTTGGTAATACAGAATAGCCACATTATTGTCATTTAGAACATATACAGTTAGTGTCAGTATTTACATCAAATTGTACAATATAAATAAACATTACCCCACCACACACTGATTTATTATTATTATTATTAAAGTGAAATTTAGAGAGTCCAGTTAGAGAAAACTTCTTGATGCAAAGATCCAGATGATCATAATGTCTCATTATTTACCCTTGGTTTTTAAGTGTGCTTTATAAATAAAGTTTATTATTATTATTATTTAGTGTAAACACACAGTCATAGATAAAGGGAAACCTCTGTCCAGTTTTTGGATTTTGGTTTATCGTTGGCTGATCTGTCATTATGGAAACTATATCATTTCAACAGTGACAGTTTATTATATTAACAAATAATATGTGTCAGAAAAAAATCCCAACAATTACAACAACAAAATTTCAACAATTATAACAAAGTTAGACGGTGCATAAATTTAGGAGCCCCAACAGAGATATTGCATCAACACTTAATTGAGCTTCATTTGCAAATATAACTCAAGACACCTCGGATAGTCTTTGATGAGTGTCTGGATCCTAGATGAAGGCATGTTTGATCCTTCTTCCATACAAAAAAGCAAAAAAGCATCAACAACCTGCTTCAAATTATCCCACAAATTTTCAATGACATCCAAGTCAGGGGAATGTGGTGTTATTCTTCCACAGCACAGTGTCAGTCTGTCTCATCTAAATGAGCTTTTATACAACGAGCGATTCTGTTTGTGGTGTGAATGCAAAAAGGCCTTCTTTTCATTACCCTCCCACACATATGTACAAATACACATCTTCAGCAAGATGCTCTGCAGGGTTTTGGAGGTGATTCATTCTGACAGTGCGCTGCATATGCAGCTCCTGTAATTTTCTTGGCCTGACCTGAATTCAACCACAGCTGTGCCTGTGCTCTTCTATTTCCTGATTACTGTCCTTATAGATGAAACTGAGTTCAAACCTGAGTTCCTCCCCCTGAACCACAGTACTGACAGTCTTTGTTTTCAGAGTTTTTGAGAATTACTTTGAGAATCCAATGCTGTCACTGTTCAGTGTCAAAGAGAAGCACAACTTGAAAGTTTCCACCTTAAATACATTTTCTTATCATTGGACATGCTTGCCTATAAAGTTCAAGGCTTAACAAGCTAATCCAACTGATTTAGAGTTGCAATCAGTATTGACCAGTTCCATGCATTCAAATCAGTAAAATTACAACGATACCCAAATTGTTGCACAGCCAGCTTTCACATCTAACTCCATTCTGTACGTCTAAATACTGCTTCACTAAAAACAGATGTTTGTGAAACCCCCAGTACTCAGATGTAGAAAATGAGGAGGAAATGAAATACATGCCACTGTTGTCTTTTTGTTGAATGAAGAGTGAATTTTTATGCAGGGAGAGACGTTCCCAGATGTTTTCGTATGATTGTGCATTTCAAAACCTTTTAACACATAATTCAAAAACAGTTTTTGGTGACACAATATGAACAGATATGTATGTGTGCCTGCTGAAATTCTCACCATATAAATATGAAAACTGTCAATATTTATTATAAGTGCTTAACTTCAGAAAAATTAATTAAAGAGATAAAACGCTGGAATTGTCCCGTTTCGGTTTAAATCCCGACTGAACAGTCTCAACTTTACAGAGAAATCTCTACACTGGGTCCAGATCTGGTCCTTGTTCTGCCTGATGTCTGATGTAGAGGATCAGCTCTGTTCCAGCTTTTCATTCAGACAAAAAGCACTGTTGTTTCACTTACATGCATGATTTCTTTGCTTTGTGTGATGGTGCTGCTGTCATAGGTTGACAAAAACAAGTAGAAACAAGAGGAAGTTTATTTTTATTATTTTATTGTTACGTTTGATTGGATTAACTGTGTGTGAAAAGATAAACACAAGAGTAAGACTATTGCAGATGTTCATTTCATGTAAGAGATGCTACAGTATCCTTATAAAAGTTGTGGTTATATTTAAATTCATAATTATTCTATAAATGTTGACAATAATAAGAAATGTGCTATCAGATGTCAAAGTAAATGGGACCATTATTTGTTGTGGTTCAAGTTCATAAACGGAATTCAAAGTACACAGAGCGGAGTTGTGCCAACCCCAATAGTGAAGACTCAATCTGAAAGCGTTGCTCAGAAGACAGATAAACATGGACGTATGTGATGGCTGCTATACCAATGATCATAGACCTGCACACTCATTATGTCCCTCTGTGTGACTTTCTGCTTAATGTGAAGTCGTTAGTGGAAATTATGATGCTGATATGATTTGTTTGATGTGACCAACCTGCTAATTTTTGACTTTTTATTCTGAAACAAGAAGCACAAGTTAAAAAATACCCCATAGCACAGTAGTGTTAGCCCCAGTACTCATATTTAAATAAAGGCATTGATTAATGAATTGATTAATGTAAATTGGATCAGTGTAAGAAAATTGATCGATGGGAAGTTTTTAATTAAATAACTAAAATTCAAATACATGAGTTGTTTTAGTCATATTTTTCTATAAGCAGGCCTGAAAAATGACAGAAAGCGCTCACAAAATGTCAAAGCATTAGACTTTTTTCCATGTTGTTTAATGTCAGTCAGTCAGAGAAAAATGATTATTACTATAATTAGCATCATCTTCATCAGGACAAAGAGAAGAAGAAGAGATGCTGAGAGGAAAATGTAGGATTTGAGGGACCAGTTAAAGTTGATGAAGTTCATCTTTCCTTTATCAGCTTCCTAAATTTGTTTATTCAACTTTGTTTATTACTGTAATGTAAAGAAAATTTTAGAATTGAATCTTTTTTTGGATGATTATTTTTGTAAATAAGGAATTTGTATTTACCGAAGCAGATGATTCCAGCATAAACCAACCAACAAACCCATAAATATCCATCCATCAAAAACTAACTAACTAACTAACTAACTAAATAAATAAATAAGACAGACAAAAAAGAGCATGTGTTAATAATAATCAAGGAGCTCATTAAATGTCAGTTAAACATTTAAAAATAACATGTGTTCTAAAACCTTTGACTGGTGATCTATATAAGAATGACAGCTGTTTTACTACATCAAGAAATAAACTAATCTAAATAAATTAGGATATTGCAAAAGTAATTAGAAGAATATTTCCATTAAAAATATACTGATGTTTTCATTTCTCTCCTGTCTGCTATTTGGAAAAGATGCTCTGGGCTGAGAAGACGAGAAATGATGAAACTGACAGAAAACTCAAAGAGGTAAATCTTTTCACCCAAAGCAGTTTGCTGCTGTCATCTCTCTTTTATCTCTTTGTATACAATCCAAATTTGGAATTTCTTCACAAATATTAATTTTCCAGGACAAAAAACTATTTCAGTTCATAGCTGTGATCTTTTTCTTCATCTCTCTTCTGTCCTTTAGTTGGTAAAGCAGCTCGAGGAGAAGAAGACAAAAACTGAGCAAAATCTCAGTGAGGTAAATCTTTGTCACCCAAATCAATCACCTGCTATTATCTCTGTTTTCTACGTGTTCAGGTTACAATCACACATGAGAACAAACCTCAGACACCAAATAACTGTTAGTGAAGCTCAAGTTTGTTCTCACTGTTTTCAAACTTGAAACTTAAAAACGTCATTAAACACTTTATATATTTACATAACACAT